ACTCTCCCATCTGGGTGTACCTTTGTCTACAAGAACAGTTAAACATCTGAAACAGCATTCAAGTGTGTTGAAAGGAGAGAAACAGTGACTCAAAGTGGCCAGGTGATGGTGGACATGAATACAAAGAGCTGACCCAAGAACGGCCCGTGAGCTCCTGGGTTCACGGGGATAAAACAGATTTTCCACCGCTAATTTCTATGCATTTATTCATGAGTTTGTACAGGTATGTGAGAGCGCTCAAGAACAGAAGCTGCTTGGCGATAATCTGTCACTTTAATGAAAAGCACACAGGCTGCATGTGATGTGTGGATGATGTATTTTAACCAAATGTAGATAAATCAGCACCTTCTACAGTTACCACTTTTGAAACCATGATGTCTTGCATCAATTGAAATAGATCAATGGATGAGAGAGTCTGTGCTCCTCTTTTGTCTTGAGCTCACTGAAATGATTTAATAACCCCCTCTTTTTCTGCTTATGTCATGTCTGGGGAAAAGCAGCAAGGCAGGGGAGCTGGTGAAGTGAAGACAAAGCAAAGTCAAAAAGTAAAGAGTAGACGGTGAAACTTCGGAGGTAAGGGAAGCGATCCAATGTGATTAATGCTATGAAGAGACGCAGACGTGAAAGGAGAACGAAAAAGCACAAACACAAAATTCAGGATCCAGTTAGTCCACAGTAGAATCCACATATCCAAGTTTATAAGAGGCCAAATCAGACAGGGAAGTGTCTAACAGGAGTACACCTGCTCCAGGAAGCGTGTGCGACATGATCTAGGGACTTGTGTTTAGGAATGTCTCACGTGTGAGCAGACGGAGCACAGATGGAATGAAACAAACTTCCTTTTCCTAATCCTGCCTTTCTGACTTTCATTTCAACCTCATGTTTTTCCCGTTTCCATCCTAAAGACAATCTGCAGCACAACTCCTGAAAGACACTGCGAGTTGAGAAAAAAAAAGTGTATTAGTCATCGTCTTGTGCCATTTGCACCTATACCCAAGTGACATAATGTCTCTACTGAATGCAAGGCTGCACGGATGAAGGATCTGACAGGAGTTTGTTAACAAGTTTTACAGAATAAACAAGATCTCAAACAACCAACAATGGTTTTTTCTTGCGTAAAAACACAAATTAATTTAACTGCAATTTCGAAAATCCAACTTGCATTTACAACCAAGCTGACAAAATGTATCGAATAAAGTTAAAACGCCCATCGTTGTCTCACACAAGTACGCCGTTTATGGCAGGGTCTTTCTCATCACAGCAGTCACCTTGGCACAGAGTGTTTGCAGGTGCAGAGCTGGCAGAATGTGGAAGTGAAACAGAAACAAAACAGGCTTTGATTTCATTGCAACACCGGGAATCTTTGAACATATAGACGACCCAAAATAAAATGAGGAGTTTCGTCCTTAACAACGGGGAGGGCAGGCACAGGAACAAATGGGTTACAGTGAGCTGAGGAGAAGAGGTGTGCTGCTGAGAAACTTTTCAATAAGGTTTGTCAGTTATATCCTTCACTGGCTTACACCATCGGTATTACAGTTTTTTGATGAATGGGTATGTGAAGAATGTGTGTGTAGGAAGAAAAAGTGTTGATGTGTAAAGAAGAATTAAAACCTCAGATGAAAAAGGTTTTTTGGATTTTAACGGCTGGAATTTTAAGAAACTCTGATGTTTTTGACTAGCGCGGGCAAAACAGAGACTATCTCCTGGACTGTCTTCAGCCATTGCTGCGGCTCTCTATTCCCCATGAAGATGTAATTTTACCAGCGTGTGATGATGATGAATGAAACTTTTAACTTTAAAAAAAACAACTTAAAAATGGTTATAAGCCAATTGCTCATGTGACTATTTGTAGATCTGACTGGGGAATCTGGTCAAAATTGCAGGATTGGTGGAGACAGTGTAAATGTTTAATGCTTAAATGCACTTCTGTTGCTTTTATTGTCTTTTATTTCTTTACAATGTATGCTATCCTAAATGTACGAAGACTACAGATGGACAGTAGCCTATGGCTGAATCTGTCGCACAAAGTAATTACTGAGTGTTCATTAATGTGCACCGTCTCCTCCAAATAAACTAAATATGTAACATCCATTTTGCGAGACTAATTAATAGGCATGAAAAAATCTATAAAAAAAGATGGTCAATGATTACCGATGGTAAATAAAGTCAACCAACCTTAAAATCTTCCACACAAAACAGCACTATCTACAGAACATTGTGCATGTGTGAACGGGTTGTAGAACCGTAGAAGGCGCTATATAAAATAAAAGCTATTTACCATTTACCACATATAAAAACCAAATAAATAACTTCCATCAGAAGGTGAGATTTTTTTTAAATGGCAAATAGCCACTATTAGGTGACCTTTACCTGAAATTTTTAGTTTTCATTCAGTTCTCCCTCCCAAGATAATTCTCCAAGTGTCAAGAGACATTTTAATCATTTGCCCTGAAACAATGCCGGTTACCTTCCTTATTCGAGTGCCACATGCTTCTAATGCCCCCCTGGCTTGTACACGCCAACACATGAAGGCTCTTCCTTTTTGTCATACAACAGGGGAATAAAGGAGTACTTTCTCCACTTCCCTCCAACACACACACACACACACACACACACAAGCCAGGGAAACGGTAAGGTTGCGATAGAACCTTTCAAACAGTGCCTGAAGAGATATTTTCAGAGGGAGACAGTTAAAAAGCGACGACTTCTTTATAGATTCAATAAGGATCTTACACCTGTGTGGCTAACCACCATCGATCCATCATTCTGTGGAGCCCGATCCAATTTAGAGAGTTGAGGAGCCGCAGAGCCCACACAGCCTTATCCTAACCCAGGCCACAGCCACTGCAAAGCCTGCTTACCTTCATCCCCTGAAGTCAGCAGGTGTGTCTGTGTGCTTTTATGGGTATGGGTATGTGTGCTTACAGAGGCTGCAACCCAAGCCAAACACCTTTGCTGCTGGCTCATGTTAAAGTGTGCTTAGATGCTTTAGGGAAGGCCTGGAGAGGAGGCAAGAGACAGAAAAAAAAGAGAGCAAGTGCCAGGAAGTAAGGCACAAATCTCAACTCAAACCCAAAAAAGAGGTGGAGAGAAAAAAGAATCAGTTTGGCTGCAACAAGAAGTGGACCATGTATTTGTTTTGTTTCCCCATGACAGTCACAATTGTTACGACTAATGGCACCAAGCATGTCCAAACTGACCATTCAAGTCTTCCTTTTATAACTAATTAAAGAATCTTCTGATGCAGATGTTTCAGTTTTAATTCTCTTTGCTGCTCCACTGGACTGCAGCAAATCCCCCTGAGATCTATTATTACAGGGTGTTTGAAGCATACTAGTGAGGTGGCAAGAGAGCGAAAGAAAGCCGTTTGTGCCGCTGACTAAACTTCAGCGCCTCCCGACTAAACAAAAAGCATCGTGTGGCTTTCAGTCACTCCAGCGACCAAACCCTGGGCAATTAAGGCCCAAATCTTTGTAGGAGTGAAGGAGAGAAAGGAACTGGGGAAGAGGTGGGGAGGCAGAAGCGGAGGAGAGATTCCACACCAATAACAGGCAATTATGTATGGGGAGGGCCATTGCCTGGCCATGAGAGTATAGAAGAAGACAGCGGGGATATGGGATGGTAGGGAAATGAGGAGGAGTGTTATTTAGGAGGCAGATGGCAGAGAGGGGGAAATTAAGATGAATGGGCACTGAGAGGGCTGAGCCGGTGCTGGGGCTGGGCAGAGAAAAGTAATTAGCTGTGGTTGCTTTGGGAGGCTGGCAGTGAGTGTGATGCCTGCAGTGACAAGCTGGAGCCTTGAGCTTTATCAGACAACAAGGCCATCTCTGAAGCTGCCAGCAGGGGGCAGCTGGGTCAGCAACCTTTCAGCACCTTCTTACCTGCATATTGCACCACGATGCCTTTTCACAGCGTGAACACTAACGCAATCTCCTCTTCAGTATACACTGTATTTTTTTACTCTAATCCGCTCTTAATAAAAACACATTTCTGCCTTGCTCTCTCAGGAATCCCTTCTCTCTCTCGCTCTCTTACACACACAGCTTCTCACAGAAAGACATGAGGCATCTAAGACATCTTTTTCTCCCAAAATATTGCACGATCTCACCCTTAACTGGCAGCCTCCTTCTTCCTCACACCATTTCTCTCCATTTCTACTGTTACCGTCGATCTGTCTCTTTCCTCCCACCACATATATATCTCCCCCCTCATGTCCCTTTCCAATCTAATTCCAGATACGCTGTTGCAGAACAACAGAGCAAGGCCTTTTATCACCACTATCAATGATGTGGGTGGATTGAGCGTGAATAATTTTATTCGTGTGTTCTAGTGCCCAGCCCGCTGGGATTCCAATTACACCTAATAAGAGGTAATAGAGTAGCCGAATCCCTTTTGTCCCAGCATCTCAGTAAATTCAGCTGTAGTCAAACCTGTAGGATAAAAAACTAGCTATATCTGTTCGTAGCAACAAACAGATAATATTATAATTGATTTATTTTAAGTAGTTTTTCTTTCCTTGGAATTCATACAGTTAGTTTGCTTAATTTAAAAAATCCTCATGTATCCTATAAAGGTCAGCGACTAAAAGGCTCTGCCATTAGTTCCTCCCAACACCTTTAAAGCATCAAGAAAAACTGTGGAAACTCTGAAGAATGTGATGGATCCCGACAACGTCTGGAAAGGAGGAGCTCAAAAAGCTGCTTTTATTTTAAAAGTTCAGAGTAGACCACACTGCAGCTAACCGTTTAAAGAAAATCCAGCCTAAAACCGATCATAAATGTCTTTCATGCTTTCAGAAGGCAAACGCATGGTCAGGAGATGTGAAAAGACGTAAAAAATGTCACTGAGCACACAAAAGGAGGACATAGACGACAGCAACAGTATTTGCATTTAGACGCATGCAAGACTTATTTACTGCTGATTTCAGAAAACTGATAGAAGACAGAGCGGAGTGTTCTTGAAGCCTTAAAGCAGGAGTATTTAATAACTTGTTTTACCATGGTTCACTGGCCTGAGAACCTGGCGAAAGGAGCTGGGGCTGATCGTCTTCTGGTAGTTATCTGTGTGGGATGCACCAGACATCAAATACTAACATAAACAGGTCGAAGAGGGGTCAGAAAGAGAAAGGAGACAAAAGGCTAGAAAAAAAAAAACAATGTTGTTTTATGGGTAATCCAATCAAAATGTACAAAGCTCATCTTGAAATCACATTTGCTCATGACAACAGTTATTGAACTGGCATTGGTCTGAAGATTCACTGGCATTTTGCTGCTACCAAGCATGTGTACAAACAACAAATCTGCAAATGACTGAGTATGAAAATGTACTGAGCCAAAGCATGGGGATGTGAACGTTCAAGCTTTAAATTCAAACAATCAGAGAACATGCATCAGTCTGGCAAATTAGGAGCATGTCAATCTAATCCCCGTTTTCTCTTTGGTTTTAACATATCTGACCTGAAGTCAAATGTTTGCATAGAGGTTGTTTATTTCTCTATACACACGACTCACCTCTGGACCTGGGTACTCTCTTCCTGCGGTCTCTGAATGCAGCTCCAGACTGCAAGGCTTCCAGCAAACTATCCATCACACCTGTCTCATCGTTCTCTGGAAACAACAAACAGAGCACAGTTAGGAGGAAAGGGGTTTTTAAGTACCGACTTTAGAGACACTCACTGCATCACTAGTGAGAACACACCAGCAACAGATACATCATAAAAAGAGTGCAAAACAGCTAATACAACCAGTTTAAATGTTTAAATATGCATGAACATCTTTATTTTCATGTGTAGGACACTATCTTATTTTAGTAAGTTGGTAGCACTGCACTGGCTTCCTTGCTTGGCCAAGCTGCATCACCAGCCGTGGTGTGACTGCTGAGTCTCTCCACTGATTTAGCGGAGAGTAGGAGGACTGCGGTTCTGATTAAGGTTGGGTGGTTTTTAGTCACTGCTTCCTTTTTACTCAAAATCCCCTGTGGGGAGCAGCCGCACACGCACAAGGCTAAACCATTGTATTCTCCGATGTTACCCAAACCACTTCTGTGCAAAATATCACGAAGAGCAGTTTTTGTTGTAGTAAATAAAAATAAAACTTTGATGACTTTGTACTTTTTTAAAATTTAGATTTGCAACATTAGAAAAGGATTATTAGGTGCTGCAACAAAGTGTAGTCCCCCCCCCCCCCCCCCCCCCCAATCACCCGGCTGTTTACTGATGGCATTCCTCTTTACGTCTACGCCTGCTTCTTCCCGTTTACAACCTGTGCCCTAAGGGTCTGAGCCTGCTGAAACACAATAAGTTGAACTAATCTAAAACTGCACCGATGGAAAAGGAAAGCTTCAAATATTGTTTTGGGATCAGATGATTTTTGTTGAGGTCTAAAGCTGATCCACGTGTCAACATATATAAGGATGGCTCTTAAATGTTAATGAGATGATCTACTTTAAAAAAAAAAAGCACAGGAATAGTCATTGCTTATTGTACAAATTATTGTACATTGTGTGACTCAGAACATAAAGCCTAGTTTATACTTCTCTGTCAGCTCCACGAGGGAGAGACACGCACAGACGGAGGTGTTGAAAACAATTCCCCACCAGGACAACAGAGGGCGCTGTTCTGGGGTATCCTGTCATGAATCTGTTCCAAAATAATACATTTACTATTGTGTTGTATTTAAGAGAATTTTTAACACAGATAAATGTGTCCCTCATTCTCCTCCACCTCTTCATGAACTCGCCACCTCTAACCCCACGTTTCCCATCATTTCTGTCCACCAATAAAATGCCTGCTGTGCATCTTTTCAATCCTTCAGTCACGGAAGAATAAAACGTTCCTATTTTTAGAGTTTTTTCCGTGAGGGATTCTTCAAGCTGATCCGTGTCAGCCGCCAGATATCTTCGGCTCGCTTTGTTTTTGAGGGCACAATGGTGGCGCTTTTGACGACAGCAGTATCCTGACCAATCACAAGCTTGCGTTCTACTTCTCATCAGAGGGATGTTTAGAAAAGAGAGCTCGACTCTGTCCGTCCTAGGGAGGGCTCTCCAGCAGGCTTGCAAGGACTGATAATGGCATTGCGTGTCTACGTCCCGACGCAGACGAACTATAAATTAGGCTTAAGGCAAAGCGGGTTAGGAAATAGTTCTTTTAGCCTCATTGACGTGCTTTATTTTTTTCCCATGAGCCAACTTAAAAGAGAGGACACTTAGGCTCCCTAAGGAATGGTGCTGACCTCCGATCTGTCTATGATCTGAGATCCCAGTAATCTTTCATAAAACATTTTGATAACACGTTACCTATGGCCACTGCAGTCACTATGTACCATGTAACCTGCAAACAAATGTTTTTATCCGTCATCCATGAAGCAAGCGTGCAAAACCTGACAATCTCCACAACAACACAGTCTCTTGACTTTAACACTTCTCTATATTGAAAATTCTGTATTGAGGGCAGAGCATCCCCTTGGTACTGCACTATCGTTGGACTAAATCCCTACATGGTGCTGTGACTACACCAACACACTCACCACAAACCTACATATAATGGCCCACTTCCTTGTCTGCCAGCTTCTTTGTGTGCATTTGTTGTGCTTTTCATTTGCACTCCTCCACTTGCTGATATGTGCCTAGTTCTTCATCATTACGCTGAGTGGAGAGGCAGCTACAATTCCCGGGCAAACCAAACTCTCCTCTGCGTTCAAATTTGTCTCCAGTGCTACCGCAATTCATCACAGGCAGTAAGCCCAACACTTGCCACAACACGCACACAGACACACAAAAATACAGATAGCATGCACCGAGAGCAAAAAAAAGAGCAGATCAATCTATTGCAACCTGCAGTGAGCACCTTCATGTGTAGAACTCCGTTTGACTCCAGCCTGCAAGAACATGAAACATTCTGGTGCCTCTGGAGGCGAAGAAAAACGAGACTCACTCAGATCTTCTGCCTTAGGATTATATGATGGCAAAAGAAAAAAAAAACGGTACAATTTTATACTCCAATCAAAAGTAACTGAAACAGGCCGGGACCCAAAACGGAGTGTAGAAAAAAGCAGCTTAGAGACATGAAAACTGGGAAAAAAAGACACATTTATACCATGTCCTCATTTTGACAAACTGAGAGATCAGACATGCCATGTGGGTAGTGGTGGTGGAGAAACACATGACGGGAGAATAGTAGCCGAGCTAACTGCTGTGAAATATGTCTGAAGCAGTCTTCCAGCCACTGGGAGGAGGTGGCATGAGGTTTATGATACAGAACAAAGCATGGCAAGCAGGACACAGCAGCAAAGAGATACAGCTGAACTATTGATTGGTTCTTTGTCTGCCGTTTCTGATTCTGCTGCATCTGACATTAGAGCTGTTGCGGTCTGTGGATAGAGACATTTGATTTGAGTCAGCAAAAACTGGAAACATAAAAAGGGTCAACTCTTTCAAAATCTGATCTACACTACTGTTTTAAATTAAAATCAAATTTACCTTTTAATTAAAAAGTGGTCTTAAAATGGGGTTAAATTCACCAGAATAAATAGAAGGTGAAAAGGTAAGATCAACAGCCAATACAAGTTTATTTTTTACAGAAAAGAGAGTCTCTGAGAGCAAAATCAAGATGAAGTTAGACCTCTACCTCAGGGGGAAAAAAGCTACAGTTGCCCTCCTGTCTGAAGTGAAACTTCAATCACCATCTATTTAATCAAGGCCTGTTCAGAGTGGCGTTTTCCATTGTCTGGACAAAGAGCCTGTGTGTCGATGTCTACTCTCTATTCAGTCACTGCCTAATGTCTCTGGCCACTTCACTCAACAGGATGCGGCACTTATCATCAGGACAATGACCAAGTTGTGGCAGTGTGTAACGGCGTTGGGCTGGACATGGCAGAGAGAGAGAGAAAAAAAGAGGGTCAATTGGAGAGAACACAACATGTCGGAGTAAAACGAATGCAGGTCCACCACTGTGTTCCCTTGGATACTTAGGAGACAAATGGTGCAATAAGGCCAGTCAGCCACCTTTCTCCTTACTGGATACCTCATGTCTGACCTTACTGATAGCTCTCAGCCAATCCATTTCTATATGATGAATAAGGACAGATAAAAGACATCAGACCCAGCTACTGCTGCATGTGTTCTATTAGATCACCGCTGACCACCCTCTCTGTAGTAATTAAGAAAGGAGTTTTTATGCATTAAAAGTGGGATCTTAGCCAAAAATACATAATACATACATAATAAGGTAAAAAATAATAAAAAATAAAAAGAAAACCTCGATGATTAACTTAAAACTTTAAATAAACCCTATAGATTGATCAATAATTTATTAAGGCATGTTCCAATAAAGCCAATGAGCTTGAAAATTAAAAAAAAGGTTAATGAAACAAAAAACACTGAAAAACCACATATGTGAATCTAAATGACAGAGTAAAATGTAACTGAGGAGAGAAAAAAAGTAGTTTTCTGTTCAAATCTGTAATAGTGTAAAAATGATTAAACCTACAATCTGGATAAGAAATGTGACAGAAAACAAACAAAAACTAGAAGGGTGGTTCATTTAAACATAACAGTTTGAATTTTGAGATTTTGAACTGAAGCCTGCATTTAAATATGTATACATGTATGATGATGCTACCATAAGGGTCTGTTCCATTTTTTTGATCTTTTGTGATTTTTTTTAAATAGTGTTTTTTGTTACAGTTTCACTATTTTTGTCTGTTGGGCTGAATTTTAATGAATCATAAAATATGCTTACCAACAAAACGGTCAAAAAGCTTAATTTACATATAATTTAATAGTAAAAAAATTACAAAGTCTTTCACAAACCCTCCTTGCCTCAAAATACATATAATATTAAATTAGTTGGACAAACTGACACGGTTTTGTTGACTGAACCCTGCAAACAGTCAACGTCACGTGGACATGCAGATGCACATGATGTCTACTCTATATTAAATCTGTCGGTCCAGACCACGTCTGTAGAGCGTCCAAACTAGGTCTTTGCACAGTGGGAAGTCACAATCTGCAAAACAAGCTACATTCTAACAGAGCATTGCTATAAACATTTTGTGGAAATTATAAAAATAGGAAAAATAAGTGAAGTGGTTCTCTCCTGTTTGTTTCAAAACTTCAGCCAATAACGGCATGGGCTGAAACCAACGATTGTACAATCCAGTAGTTAGTCTCACAGAACAACTGCACTTTTGCATTTACCTGGGTCCTCCACTCATACACACTTGTGCATTTTGCAATTACAAAGAAGGAGAAACAGCTGGCTACTAGCCTGTGACCACTTCAACTTTAGGACAAATGACCAGAGTCCCCAAAAGAAAAACACCATTTGAAATTGCGAAAAACAAAAAGGTAGAAAACGGCAACTGGTGCTCTCTTGTTGACTGTGGCAATGTGGGTTCTGGTATCAGATGGATGTGGACTAGAGATGATAGGAGGGGTAAGAGTTCAATGACGGTGCTTGTATTTAAAAGCTAGCTTGTTTTGAGGATTTGCAATGGCAGCTGCAGGAAGTTTAAAGCAATATCCATATGCAAGAAAAAGGAAAGTCATTCAAACGTGCCACAAATTGTCAGGCAGTGCAATGAGATTGTCAGATTTTAAATAATGTAAG